TCTCCCAGTACAACAGGTGCCGCACTGTCTCCCAGTACAACAGGTGCCGCACTGTCTCCCAGTACAACAGGTGCCGCACTGTCTCCCAGTACAACAGGTGCCGCACTGTCTCCCAGTACAACAGGTGCCGCACTGTCTCCCAGTACAACAGGTGCCGCACTGTCTCCCAGTACAACAGGTGCCGCACTGTCTCCCAGTACAACAGGTGCTGCACTGTCTCCCAGTACAACAGGTGCCGCACTGTCTCCCAGTAGAACAGGTTTGCTCCCCTTTGAGCAGGTTTTCTCTTATCAACAGGTTTGGCCGGGCTTTCGGCTGGCCCAAATTTGCCGGACGTGTCACAACAGAGTACCCGGGCCGGCCGACCAGGTTTGGGCCGAGCCAGCCCTACCTGGGTTCGATGCTTCCCCATGGAGCCTGAGCCTAACACTCACCTATGTGTCCGTCCTTTGTTCGGTTCTGATGATGTTGTTGCTTCCATCATCCCATGTTGCCTCTCTGGAACTCACTTCGCCACTGTGCCCTATCAACTTGCTCCTTTCTCACTCATTGCACCATGCAATGGGCGTGGCTCGCGTGTGTCGCATCCCGCAGTGTGCTGGTGGGGCTGGTCATCGTGCAGTACCGCTGGAACTCTGACTGCTGTGGTAACAGCAGGTTAGTCTCCCTCCCCACCCCAAACCAATCATCAACAGTCAAGAGCATCTGACCTGACCGTATGCAGGTTCTCCAGCCCCCTGCACCTTTTGAGTCAGGCCCCTCTCACACAGCTTGTGTACATACCCACATTCACCATTCCTCTCATTCCTCCCCTCTCATCCGCCGGTCCCCCCTGCTTTTGTCCACCAGTCCTCTCCTGCCTCACCCCCTCTCCTGCTTCACCCCCTCCTCTGCCTCCTGCCCTCCCCTGCCTCACCCTCTCCTCTGCCTCCTGCCCTCCCCTGCCTCACCCTCTCCTCTGCCTCCTGCCCTCCCCTGCCTCACCCTCTCCTCTGCCTCCTGCCCTCCCCTGCTTCACCCCCTCCTCTGCCTCCTGCCCTCCCCTGCTTCACCCCCTCCCCTCTCATCCGCCGGTCCCCCCTGCCTCACCCCGGCGTGGCAGGTTCCACTTCCAGGACGCATGTGTGGGGGGGGAGTCGGCGAGGGCGTTTGGGGTGAACCCGGTGTTCCTGCCGTCCTCGTCGCTCTACAACCCCAATGCCGCCGTCACCAACACCACTGCCTTCACCAACCAGCCCTTCGCCAACCCCTTTGAGCTCAACGCCAAGGGGCTGCCCTTTGGCTTCCAGCAGCTCGTGAGTCCCACCTCGCCTTCACCCATGCGCACCACCTCTTACTACAGGGCGTGTAACCATGTTACGAGAATCAATCAGTTAGAGCAGCCCCTCCAGGCTCCTCCCTTCCTTTGGTACTTCACTCTCCTCATGGCCCATAGTTTGCCGATTCAGGCTCCATCCATGCTGCTGATGCCTGGAGTCGAGTCTTGATTGAGATTTATGAACCTTGATGAGCCTTGGGTAGTCCAACATTCCCACTGCAAAAGATGCCTCTCTTGCTCTCTGCACTCCCTTGCACTTCCTTGCACTCGCAACCCAACCCTCACCGTGTCCACAGCCCGGCAGTGGGCGCTTCCCGATCGTGTTTGACGTGAATCTGGACAACGCGGGGGCAACGCGGCGGCTGCAGTACTTGGTGGACGGCTTCTTCATCGACAACTACACCCGCACCATCAACGTTGGCCTCATCACCCGCAATGGTAATTTGCCTGGCATCACCCGCAATGGTACTGTGAACTCTGTGTGCTTGTGTATTCACCTTGTTGACTGGCTTTCAGCCTGTGTGAGCTTCCCTCTCTTGTCTGCATGTGCACTCACCCTCTTTGTTCCCCCCCACCCCCCCGCCCCCCTTTGCCGACCAGCCAATGAGCATCTATTCACGGCCACCAAGGCCACCCTGACGGTGCAGTCGGGCGGCAGCATGGAGGCGTCGTTCCAAGTGCAGCCGGTGAACGTGGAGTACTACAACATGAATGAGAGCAGCAACGTGGTGCGGCTGGTGGTGGAGCTGCTGTTTGTGGCCGCGGTGGCGTGGAACATCGTGGAGGAGGTGAAGGAGATGCTGTGGACGTGGAAGGTGCAGCGCCGCTCCTTCTGGCACTACGCAAGCAAGGGCTGGAACTGGGTGGACTGGCTCTCCATCGCCCTCCAGATCACCTGCATCGCCATCTGGTCAGCATGCTTGGGGTGGCCACGCATGGGTTGAAGAGGCATGGTGGTGAAGAGACATGGGGTGAAGAGGCATGGGGTGACAAGGCAGGGGGTGAAGAGGCATGGGGAGACGAGGCATGGGGTGACTGTCAGAACAAGGGTTGAATTCATTGATTAGGAGGGATCGGTTGTATGAGATGCAATCCCAAGGAGATCCTAGGGGAATCCAACCAATCCAACCAACCAGCCAATGGAGGATAAGATTTTGGATGGAGATGAGGTTGGATAGGCTGGGGATGAAAAAATCTACACCCAACCCAACTAGAAACTAAACTTGCTAAACGTGTAAGCCCTAAAACATTTAAGGCTAACACACAAAGGGCAACCTATTTCCAACAGTGATGAGGTCTGGGGCAAGTTGAAGTGGTGAGGTGGGGATTGAGTGTGGTGGATCATTCTCGTGACGCTTACATTAAAGGAGTGCATGCGGGTGCTGTCTGACGGGCATACGGCACACGCCAACCACCTTCATCTTCATTCCAATGGCGAGTCCTGCTGCATGAAAATTCAAGTCTGCCCTAGACATGAGCATCGCACGAATCGGAACACGTTTGACTCAAACCTTTTCAAACAACATGGAACAACAAGTCTTCCCTAGACATTAGCATCGCACAAATCCGAACACGTTTGACTCAAACCTTTTCAAACAACATGGAACAACAAGTCTGCCCTAGACATGAGCATCGCACACATCCGAACACTTTTTTTCTGAAAACTCATGTTCGAGTGTTCCCATTCATAGGCGAACACTTAGATGTTCGCGCAAAAATCATACGTGTTCGTGGCATACTCAAACGTGTTCGAGGCGAACTCAAACGTGTTCGAGTTCACTCCTGGATTTTCACTTTAGTGTCATACTGTGGCTTGCTGCCACTTCCCCTGCCAGGTGCAACAAAGGAGGAATCCGTCAACAAGACATAGCACACACACAGTGTAGGAACCAAGAAACCAGGTCACAAACGTGCAGGCCAGTATCTAGCAACGGTAAGCCGCATTTACTCTAAAGTGGATCTGTGAAAAACGGGCTCCTAGTAGCAGAAATGCCTAAGTACCCTGCAATGTCCGCGATTTTGGCTTATGTTTGCGTTTACTAGGAACCTAAGCCATGTCTGAACTAAGGGCAGGTCCAACTTTGTACAGTCTCGTTTTTTTTTTTTTTTTTTTTACGTCAGTGCACTTGTCAGATTTGACTACACCCCAGGGCGTACTCCTAGCATTTCCTGTCCAGTTCCGAGTGTACAGTTGGACTTTTGACGAGGTAGATTAACATTGCGAGGCACAGTACCTGGGTTGGATTGTTACTGAATATCTCGAGGGTTACCGCACCTGTGGCGGAGGGGGTCATTAATGGCAAAGGAAATTTGGCGAAAAGCGAGCGGTACTGTTCGACGTGTTTGACGCGAAACGAGTTGGGAGACGAATGGACGGTGAACCTTCGGATGTGTTTCGCACGTCCCGGGGCTCGTTTCCAAAATGTCATAATATATGTACGGTCTCCCGTCAAATGGATTCCGTACATTTAAAGCTTTTACACGCCTAAATGTGGTAACTGAGCTGAAAATTAACCCTACATGTGCAAACTTTGACCCGCCCTAAAAGCAAGAGGTTGAGCTTGAAATGAGCTAGATTTGTGCAACCCTAGATTGGAAACCAGCGCGGCCAATGTTTGCGTAGGGTAATTTCGAACTTGAACATGTTCGAATCGAACCTTTTTGGCAAAAAAAAAAGAGGCATGTTTGGTTCGACTCGAACGAACAGGTGTTCGTGAATACGCTCATGTCTAGTCTGCCCTCCCAATCCAACTCTGCATGGAGTGGCAAGGCATGGGGTGACGACCAGCATGGAGTAATGACAATGCATGGGGTGGCGAGGCATGGGGTGGCGAGGCATGGGATGATCAGGCATGGGAAAAAATCAAGAGATGAGAGTGGATTGATTGTGGTGGTTCAGTCACCTACTGCTTACGACGGTAGAAGAGTGAAAAACCTATGTCACTTTCTCGCACTTGCTGCCATGGCACGTACAGGATATCAGTGGCGGTGACGCGAGCACAGGGGTTCACCATCCAGCCTCACTATGACATCTACTACACGCTCGACGACAACCCGCGCTACTGGTCGCTGCCCAACCCACCCGTGGGCTATCAGGCCGCCATGTCAGCAGTGGACACGCTTGGCTTCGTCACCAACCTCTGCGCCGTCTACTTTGCCCTTCAGGGCATCAAGTCAGTCTCGCTTCACTCCCATGCCCCTGCCTCCATCGCGATACCACTTGCGACCAGCCACATGTCTTGAAGCTCTTGAACTTACCACCTTGCTCCCCCATCCCCTTTTTACCGCTTTCCCCTCTCTTCTCTTTCCCTTCTTTCCCCTCTCCTCATCTGCCCCCTCCCCCCTTTCCCCTCTCCTACCTGCTCATTCCCCGTTCCTTTCCCCTCTCCCTTGCTCTCCCCTATCTCCCCTTTCTTCCCTCTCCGGTCCCCTTCTCCCCTCTCCCCCCACTCTACCGCCTCCCCCCCTTCTCCTGCCTCTCCACCTCCACCCTCTCCCCTCTTTCCCCCATCTCCCTCCTCTCCCCTCTCCAACCCGTTCCCCATCTCCCCACGCTTCCCTCTTTCCTCTATTCTCTCACTCCCCTGTCCCCTAACCTCCATGCTGCCTCCGTGGTTCTCTAGAACGCTGTTATCTGTAGCCCGCATCACAGCACGAGCACAAAAGGCTTCTCCCCCGCCACATGTTTCATATCGGTCGTCTTGCTTGCCTTGCCCCATCTTTCGTGTCACCATCCGACCCCACCAGTGTGTTCATCATGGTGCTGCGCCTCTTGAAGCTGATGGACTTTCAGCCCAACATGGGCATCATGACTCGCTCCCTCCGAGTCGCCATGCCGTCTCTCCTCCACTTCTTCATTCTCTTCTTCGTTGTCTTCGTCGCATATGCCACCTACGGCTACCTGGTGTTCGAGATGACCTTAGTACAGGTGCGTGCCACTTGCGTGCCTCTCCCGTGTTGTTGTTCTCCCTAAACAACGTCACACCCAATTAGTGAAGGCTCAGAGCGAACCGAACCAGGACCGGTTCGTTGGACCAATAATGGTCAAGTACCGGCAGGGTCACAACCCGTTTTGACCCAAACTGGCTCTGGTTCAGGTTGAACCAGGTTTGGGACCAGGATGTGTGCTGAGTTGGCGTTGTATTGAAAACATAATACTATCATGGCCCTTGGCAAAGAGGGGCGACCTAGACAGTGATGGAGAATGGATAGGCTACACGGCGACAGTGAGAGTCAGAGCGGGTGTTGGATTATGGGGGGGACAGGAGAGATGAGGGAAGGCGAGGAGAGGAACGGCGGGGGGTTAGTGGACGTGCGTGCCGGCATGTGCTAAGACCCAGAAGCGGGAGGGATGGGTGGGGAGCACAGTGGATCGCATGCAAAGAGGCAACAAGTAGTGAACGGAAAAATGCCACACAGAGAGGAAGGGGCGAGATCAGCACTTGTAGCCCCAGTTTGCTGAGCAGCATGCTCGGAAAGGATGTTTAGTTGCACCTCAAATTTACGTTCCGGGTCTGCCTATGATTTCTTCAGAGTGTTCTGCGTTGCAGGGTTGCTTTGGAGGTACTGAACGCTCAGCTATGTGTGTGCGTGCTTTCTTCGTTGCCCTCTTTTCCCCCAAGTGCAGTTCAGCACGCTGTGGTTGTCCCTGCAGACCTGCTTCTACATGATCGTGGGGCAGTTCGGAGTGTTCTGGTTCCAGCAGATGGTGGGGTGGCAGTACGCGGCGGCCATGGTGTTCTGGTTCTCCTTCGTCATCATCTTCTGCTTCATCCTCTTCAACTTCCTCATCGCCATCATCGTGGATGCCTTCATGGCCGTCAAGGTCAGTCAACGCTGGTCAACAGCAGTCAAGGTGAGTCAATGCTGGTCAACAGCAGTCAAGGTGAGCCAATGCAGGTCAGCAGCAGTCATGGCGGGTCAACGCAGGTCAGCAACAGTCATGGCGGGTCAACGCAGGTCAATAGCAGTCATGGCGGGTCAACGCAGGTCAACAGCAGTCATGGCAGGTCAACGCAGGTCAACAGCAGTCATGGCAGGTCAACGCAGGTCGACAGCAGTCATGGCGGGAAATCACAGGTCAACAGGGTGGAACAAGTCAATGACGGTGAGTGCGAGTCAGCGGTATGGTGTTGTGGTCACCTTCTTATCCTTTGTGCTCTTTACCTTCCTTTGTGCTCTTAGTTATCATCCGCTCCTTTCACACTTCGTTTTGTTCTCAGCATCACATATGGTTGGAGTGCGTCGTAACTCCTTGGCGCTCCGTATTTTCACCCTCCCTCGCTCCCTCCCGCCCTTGTCTGCTGACCGACCTGCATGGGTTGGCAGGAGTCGACGGAGAAAGCACCGGCGATCTACCAGGACATGTACTTGATTGTGGTGCGCTTCTTCCGCCGCGTGGCATCGCCGTACAGAAGGTACAGCCGCCTGCTGCGCCACCTCATTCGCCTCGGAGCAGAGAACACCGCCAATGCGGTCATGGAGGTGAGCGGCCCGGCCAGGGAGGTGAGCGGGCAGGGAGGTGAGCGGGCAGGGAGGTGAGCGGGCAGGGAGGTGAGCAGGAATGTGCGCAAAGATGGGAATGCGATTGGGAGGGGAGTGTAGTAGAGTGATTTTTTAGCTCTTACTATTTCCATCCATAAATAGGGACGTGCATGACCCGCACGATGATCCGCACTATGATCCGCATGATGATCCGCATGATCCGCATGATGATCCGCACGATGATCCGCATGATGATCCGCATGACCTGCCAGAGCGCTTTTTGAACTCGGACTTCCAATTTCCAACCACATGGGTCCCCACTCTCTCGTGCGGGTTCCCACCAAACCAGTGCGGTCTAATCTCCTTAATAATCCTGCTTCGAGACAATGTGGCAATGGGGGATGACTGGTTCACATGGAGAGCACAATTTACTTACCAAAGCTCCCACACATCCCACATCTGTGTCTACCACTGCCACCTTCATTCGTGTCCCACTGCCACCTTCATCCGTGTCCCACTGCCACCTTCATTCGTGTCCCACTGCCACCTTCATTCGTGTCCCACTGCCACCTTCATTCGTGTCCCACTGCTACCTCCATTCGTGTCCCACTGCCACCTTCATTCGTGTCCCACTGCCACCTCCATTCGTGTCCCACTGGCACCTTCATTCGTGTCCCACTGCCACTTTCATTCGTGTCCCACTGCCACTTTCATTCGTGTCCCACTGCCACCTTCATTCGTGTCCCACTGCTACCTCCATTCGTGTCCCACTGCCACCTTCATTCGTGTCCCACTGCCACCCCCATTCGTGTCCCACTGCCACTTTCATTCGTGTCCCACTGCCACCTTCATTCGTGTCCCACTGCCACTTTCATTAGTGTCCCACTGCCACCTTCATTCGTGTCCCATTGTCCGCCACTCCGCAGAAGAGCCTTCGGCAGTCCGGCCAGCAGTGCTTTGCGTCGAGCCTTCAGTGCGGCAAGGAGATGAGAGGCAGCAGGCGTGATACTGATGGGGGCAGGCTGGAGGATGCTGTTCGTGATGGCAAACCGGGGATAAATGGGGTGGAGGTGGTGGGAAGAGAGGAAAAAAGGGATCCTTTTGAGGCGCAGCAACAAGTGTCAGCGATGGTGGGAGCAGATGAGACTAACTTAAGCCGGGCTGAGAGCAAGAAGGGGGTGTTGCCGAATGGTGGGGTCGCCAAGTCCCAGGCAGCCGGCAGCACCAACACTCAGGTGGACGCCCATGCTTCCACCACCGCTGCTGCTAATCCTGGCAGCACCGCTGCAGGTGATGCTGGCAGCACCGCTGCAGGTGATGCTGGCAGCACGGGTGGCAGCATGGTGGAGCCGGCAGTGCAGAGGCGGCGGAGCTTCTGGCGGCTGAAAACGCTGGATGAGCGGGAGACTGTGGTGGTGGTGGGGGAGAGGCAGCTCAACGCCCACTCGCTCTCTTCCATCCTGCGCCGTGCACACGCCCGCATGGTGAGACGGGGGGCACTGCATGCATCACATGGGGGTGCATTATGGATGGGATGGGGCATGGCATGCATGTCAAGGGATTTAATGGGGCATGGCATGTACGCCTGGTAGATATGCTCATATTATGCAGTCAGCTGTCCTGGATGCTCCATATGCAAGCGCCATCCCATCCGCCCTTGAGCCTCCAATCAGTCTGTCCTTGCCACTACCAGCACTCCACACACCTGTCCGCACACATCACGGTGCTGTTGTGGGAGGTGGGGGATTGCCTCTCATACTCCTTGCCTTGCTCTCCCATGCCATGCCATCCCATACGCCCCTGCAGCGGCGCTCTCTTTCCGACGAGCATGAGGAGGACCCCATGGACGTGGCAGCGCTGGGGGCGGTGCTGCTGTCGGAGCTGGGGGAGAGCGCGCCGCCTGCCGATGCCACGGCTGCAAATGGAGGCGAGGCGGCAAAGGAGGGCGACCTGCTGGCCATGCAGCAGCGCGTGGAGGCGCTGCGGGCCGACGTGGCCCGTGGCTTCGACCAAGTGAGGCAGCAGCTCACCACCCAAGTCCAGAGCTCCCATTGCAACCAGTTTCCACAGGAAGCCAGTCCGAGCCTGCTCCCGAACCAGCTAGGCAATGGTTCGGAGGAGGCTGGGCGAGAGGTGTGGCAGCAGGTTTTGATGCAGGTGGAGAAGATTCGGAAGGAGGCTCAGAAGGAGCGAGAAGAGGGTTTGGAGATCCTGCAGGAGCTCAGAAGAGAGTTGCAAATGCTGAGGGCAGCGAGAGGGGAAGGGAGAGAGTGGGAAGGAGAGGAAGAGAAAAGGGATGGGAGTGGGGGAGGGGCATGAGAGAAGAGAATTGAGTGCAGGGTCAGAGTAGAGTGAATGAAGCGAGTGCTGTTGCATCGTGAGCTGTGATGCTGTGTATGAGGCTGAAGCTCCGTGGTGAGGAGTTGTAAGAACGTATTTTCTGTCAGCTGAGGATTTGTAAGAACGTATTTTCCCGCACTTCACGTGGACGTAGCAAGCGCTGCTGCGTAGTGTGAAGTGGTCACGACCTGGTTCAGTTGCCAGTGTGGTTCAACATGCTGTGAAAGCCTGAGTGCGGTTCACAACAAAAATGCAGTAAGTTAATGTACAGTACCGTACTTACAAAATTGGTGCCAATGGAGAACGTTCTCTTGGCTTTGCTGGCTGTTTCGTTGTTCATACGAACTACAAGCAGAGGGTGTGCGTGCGTCCTTTATAGTAATAGCTGGTAAGAAGTTGGAATTAATGTTAATCGGGTTGCTCTAATAAACATATGTAATGCTGTGGAGAACTTGTGGTGTACATTATTTAGAGTGGACCACCTCCCAAATCCTATAGATTAGGGTTCTCTCTTATTGGAACTTCAATTCATGCAAATACCCCTTTAATTCTAGTATGGTTCATGCCCAAGTTGACTCTTAAGATTCGTACGCCTTAGGAGGAGGTTCTAAGACTACTATAGCTTCCGTTACTAGCTTAGACCATTCTAACATGGTATCAGAGCTAGGAAGGCCTAGCAATCTGTTCGAATAGGTGTTACTCAAGGATTTGGACCATAATACATTGGTGGAAACAAAATAGCTTCCATCCCTCCCGAAGGGCTGCCGAAATCGCGCCGTGGCGGACTCTGGACGTGGGAGGGGAGGAGGAGAGAAGAAACCCGCTGGAAATCGTATGGATTTGTTCGGGAGAACAAGAGGAGCGACATTTATTCACGGAGAGGCTAAGTCAACGCTGGCCGATCAATGCGTGGAGCATATTGTAAGAATAACGAACAGGGATGGATGAACTAGCAGCAGGGTGGGTATAAGTAGTAAACCCTAATTGGGTTGTACCCCATATGGGCAACCCCACTACAGCCTACACAACATGTAACATATAAGTTTGACACACCCCCATAGGCAAAGTGGGGGAGAACAATGGGTCACAAGACCAGTCAAGAAAGGCAAAGCAAGCACATGGTGGATCACGAAGTCACCACGCATTCTGAGCACAAGCAAATGGCCACAAGGCCAGTTCACATGCAGAGTTATATATATAGGAGAACAAGCAGTACAGCGATCAAATCCTAGCTAGTGTAGGCATGCAGGTATAAGTATATAGATCACAGTACAGACTAAAGTCAAGAAGTGAGCAAGAGAGGAAAAGTAGGCACAATGCCTAGAACAGTGCAGAAACGCTGATGATCACAAGGCTGAAGTGCCTTGGTGAATATATCAGCAGTGTTGGCCTCAGAGGCCACGTAAACAAGACGAAGCTGACCACGCTGCTGCAACTCTCAAGCAAGGAAGTAGCGCAGAACGATGTGCTTCGTTCTGTGCTCCAGTATGTGCTCCTAACACAAGGCAATCATGGCCTTGTTGTCGACGTACAGAACTGGAGGAGAACGAGGCGGCTCTCCCAAGTCGGTCAGCAAATAGGTGAGCCAGCGTAACTGCTGTGTAGCCATGGCCCCTGCGTAGATCTCAGCCTCACAACTGGAGCTGAGAACAGAAGACGAGCGGGTAGACCGACAAGAAACAGAACCGGAGCCAAGGCTGAAGGTGGAACCCTGTGACGACTGCTGTGTAGCCAAGTCGTCAACCCAAGAAGCGTCTGCGTGACCAGTGAGGACAACTCGAGCCCGTCCTCCAAGCACGAGCCCTATGCCCGATGTACTGCACAAGTGGCGCATCACCCTCTTAGCGGCCTTCCGTGCTCTGGTCAGTGTCTCCCGGGCGCAGCGTAGCGTGCCAGGATGCTAAGAGGGTAAGCAAGGTCAGGTCGAGTGCAGGTCATCAGGTACATGAGGCAGCCCACAAGCTCTGGATATGGGCCACCCGGCTCTACGGACTCATCCAAAGGCAGAGCTGAGAGCGAGTGACCGGTAGGCAGAGGAGTGGACTGTGGCGAGGAGTACTGGAAGTCGAAGCGCTGAAGGACCTGCTGCACCATGTGTGACTGAGTCAAGGTAATGGTGCGCTGTGCTCTGTCCCGGGTGATCTGCAAGCCAAGATAGCTGCGCAACTCACCCAGGTCTGTGCACGTGTGTCTCCTCTGCAGCTCCGACTTCACGTGGGCCAGTCCAGAAGTGTCAGCAGTGGCAAAGACCAAGTCGTCGACGTACATGAGGATGTAGAACGGCGGCAGCGAAGTGTCGGTGTGTAGAAACAACGACTGGTCAGCAGTAGAAGGAGCAAACCCAAGAGCCGCAAGAATCGTCCTCAGTGTGTCGTGCCACTCGCGAGGCGCCTGGCGGAGACCGTAGACTGGCCCCCGGAGGCTCCACTTGGTACCTGCAGGAAACGACCCAGTGAAGCTAGGCGGGCGGCGCAGCCAGATTTCCTCGTGCAGGCTGCCCTGTAGGAAAGCAGTGCTGAAGTCAAGAGAGTGAAGCTCGTAGTCACGCTGAGCGACGACGTGCAGCAGTACCCGAAGAGTGGTCATCTTCGGGGTAGGGGAGAAGGTCTGGAAGAAGTCAACTCTCTGTCGCTGACTGAAGCCTCGAGCAACGTAACGCGCCTTGAAGACAGGCGGAGAACCCTCGGCCGCTTCACCCTGAAGTTCCACATGCCACTGACGATGTTCGCCCCAGGTGGGGGAACCTCGTCGACGTAAGTGCCTGTGGACTTCCAGGATGCCATCTCTGTGTCCATGGCTGACTGCCACTGAGAGGATTAGGGACCCTCTATCGCCTCTGCGTAAGAACGCGGGGTCGGGATGTCTGGTGAATCCGGGTCTCCCTCAGGTGCAATCAGCATGGACACGAGATGAGGTACAGCAGCTGCAAAACACTCAGAGTCCTCCTGCGTGTCCTCAAGGACGTCCGTGCCAAGAACACACTCACCCCCGACGGACGGAGGACAGACAGACTCTTACTTAGCAACAAGACTAGCGGCGTAGTCTTGACGACAGGCGGCAGCAAAGTCAACTAGCTCAGCCACAAGAGCAGACGCAGCAGTAGACTCAAAGGAAGGGTCAGTGACAACAGTGGCCAGGAGACGCGTAACAGTAGGACTAGCAACACGAAGGGAGTTAGACTCCGGGTCCGGACCGTCAGCAAGGGAGGACGCAGGAGGAGACGGCAGAGGGACACGCAGAGGAACAGAGGAAGGACGAAGCGCCATCTGGTGCGTGCCGGGGACAGGAGGAGGACGCTGACACGGAACACGACGACTAGTGCGAACAGCGTGAACAGGCGACGCAGGACGAGACGCGGGCTCACGATGCTCTGTAAGACCTCCGGGCTGCCTAGTGTAGGGAGAAGGAGCAGGCAGTGGGGAGGCTGGTTGTAACTGCGGGTGGGACTGGTCAGGCGGTGGACACAGTAAGGGAGGAGAAAGGTCAGTAGAAGGCGGGAGACCAAGAACCTGCTGAAGCAAGGGAACGATGTATGGTCGCGGTCGCTCAGCGCCTCCAGAACCAGCACCGACAGCACCAGTACCTCCAGCAGCTCCAGCTCCAGCAGCACCTCCAGCTCCAGCTCCAGCAGCACCTCCGGCCCCAGTAGCACCTCCAGCAGCTCCAGCTCCAGCAGCACCTCCAGCTCCAGCAGCTCCAGTACCTCCAGCAGCTCCAGTACCTCCAGCAGCTCCAGCTCTAGAAGCACCTCCAGCGCCAGTAGCTCCAGTACCTCCAGCAGCTCCAGCTCCAGAAGCACCTCCAACTCCAGTAGCTCCAGTACCTCCAGTAGCTCCAGCTCCAGTAGCACCTCGAGCAACTCCAGCAGCACCTCCAGCCCCAGCAGCTCCAGTACCTCCAGTACGAGCACCTCCAAGACTAGGGGCTCCAGCACCTCCCGCAGCTCTAGCTTCAGCAGTACCACTCCGTAGGCTCCAGCGCCGAGCAAACCACTCGCGCAGCTGCGGTGGAGAGAGCGTCTCCTGACGGGACAAGACACCCTGAGGACCTCCAGAAGACAAAGTACCCCCAGGCGCAGCACGCTCAAGCTCAGCACCCCCAGGCTCAGCACCCCCAGGGTCCGTACGCTCACGCTCAGCACCCCTAGACTCAGCACCCCCAGGCTCAGCACCCCCAGGCTCCGCACGCTCAGGCTCAGCACCCCCAGGTTCCGCACCCTCAGACTCAGCAACCCCAGGCTCAGCACGCTCAAGCTCAGCACTCCCAGGCCCCGCACCCGCAAGCGCAGCACCCCAAGACGTAGCACCTCTAGTAGCACCAGAGTCGACAGCTACCTCGACAGGCTCGACAGGGTCTACTTGGGACACACCTGAGGGAGCAAGACCCTGAGGGAGGAGGGGGTCTACCGGAGGAGGACCTGGTGCGAGAAAGAGCGGCGGGGGAGGGAGAGGGGCAGTGCGGTAGGGGAAGAGACGGTAAAAAAGAACCGACTCGTCAAACGTGACGTCCTGAGAGGGCAGGACACGGCGCGAGGTGGGGTGGTAAAACTGCTAGCCAGGCGCGTCAAGGACAAAGCCAAGGAAGACACAGGGAACGGCGCAGGAGGAGAGCTTGTCCGCGGACGTATCCCGGACAAAGGCTTGACATCCCCACACCCGGAACACCGACGCATCGCCAACCTCCCCCGTCCAACGCAGTGTGGGCGAGGTCTCCGGCAAGGAGACACGGGGCCAGAGGTTGAGCTGATGCGTAGCGTACTGGACTGCAAACGGCCACAGAAAATAGGGGGCAGCCGCATGGATCATGGAGGTACGAGCGACCTCCATGACTAAGCCAATGTGGCGCTCAGCAACCCCATTCTTCTGCGGAGAGGCCGGAAGCGTGAACGTCTGGTAAATGCCCTCCGCACGACAAAAGGCCCGCAAGAGGTCGGAGGAAAACTCACCACCTCTGTCAGAGTGCAGACGCAGGACGGGAAG